AATTATAGGGTGTGCGATAAATCAAATAAATTTGTTAGTATAACAAACAAAAAATATATGATTTTTATATTAAAAAAATGAATTTTTATTTTTGAATATTCTAATCTCGTGTTTAGCGCATGTCAAAAAATCTAGTAGTCATTGAAAAGAAAGTAAGATGTTCTCACATATATTTTATATTTTTTAAATAAAATATTCCATATTAATTACCACATATTTTTTGTTTCCATATTCATTTAATAATTATATATTGTATATGTGATATAAATTTAGTGGATAATTTGTCTAAAATATAGTTGGACTCTTCTAATTATTTACATAATAGTTCATGTCATTAAAAAAGTTTTAATAGTTTTCATTAAAAGTTCCTTAAAATCCTCTTTAGATGACATCTAGGATTTTTACCTAGTGTCTCCTCTATTAATATAGAGAGGATACCATTTTTTAGATGTCTAATTAAGAATTTAAATTATGAAGGTTTGAGCTTAAGATTTCGGTTTTACAGTTAGGCTATTTTGTTAGTTTAGAAAAATATAGATTATTTTCCTATGTTCAGTATCAAATTTAAAATATTTTCATATACTTTTTCGTCCTCTTGAAAAGAATTGCTCCCTGTAGAGAAAAATAAAAATGGAGTAATATACAATCAAGCACTATAACAAAGTTAAGAAGAAACTTCAAATTTATAAGTTGATCAAACCTCATTCTCGAATACCAAATGACGGGTTCTCGTGTATAATTAATCCAAATTTCCTGTTTCCTTCTAGTGAAACGATTCAACCTATAGCAACAAATCACATGTAAAGAAAACGATCATCATCATATATATAAATCCAACAAAAACAAAAAATTATTTTGATTAGAAACAAAAACTACCAAAAAAAGACCGACACTCAGACTAATCCCGGCTCTGAAAAAGAAGATCTTTTATAGTATTCAGCGGTCTCTTGCACTCGACGTAACACTTTGGCTTCTAATTAATGACACAAACTCAGCCATTGAAAAGCTTCTTCGAACTGTAAATTTATGGTTAGCCTTTGGTATACCACTAACAAATCTTTCAAGATTTTCACGTTTCTTTGCTTTTGCGATTGCGATTGCGATTGCGTGTGCTACACGTATCTCTTTTACCTGCTTGTTAAACTTTCGAAGCGTTTCCTTTTCACGACGAATCGCATCCGACTTAGACGCAGAAGG